TATATTGATAATGAAATGAGGCTAATGATGGAAATAATGAGTATATATGTGTGTATATGTTCTTACATGTAATGATATATTGCATATATGTTATAGGGATTTGTTACATGAATAAGGGTATGAGTGATAGCAGTAATAGTTCATGCATGATTACAAGTTATAGTTTACATTATATGTTTAATTTCCTCACTAAGTAATAGACTTAGCGTGTGATTGTTTCACACGTAGGTTATAGAAGTGAGAAGAAAAGTGAAGAAGAACAAAATAGGCCAGCATCTCCCTTACAAAGATTTCAGATCAGAAAATAGATGATTAAATGTGTTTGGTTAATTTGAATATAGTTGACATGTACTAATTGATTGAGTTGAATATGCTCTGATCGATTTTGGTTATTTTGGTCAATTTATGTAAATAAACCGCTTTTATTTTAATGAAAATTTTAAATTTTCTTTGAATTTTGTCCATAGTCAAAGTTTGAAAAGACAATGTGACACCTCAGACTCGTATTCGGGTCGGGTACGGGTTGGGGGTGTTACACTGACCATCTTGTTTGTCCTGCTGAAAGACCAAACCAACATCTACGGTGTTCAGAATATACCGCAAAATCCATTTTACAGCTTGCCAATGCTCTTTTTCAGGATCATGCATATACATGCTCACAACCCCAACTGCCAGTGAAATATCGGGTCTCGTACACACCATTGCATACATCAAGCTACCAACATCACTTGCATATGGAACCTTTGACATGTATTCCCGTTCTGCATCATCCTTAGGTGACATGGATGCACCGAGCTTGAAATGAGGAACAAGAGGTGTACTAACTGGTTTTGACTTCTCATTCATGCCAAAACGTTTTAGTACATTCCTCATATATTCTTTCTGAGACAAACAAAGCCTCCCCAATTTCTTATCCCTTAATATCTCCATGCCTAGAATCTTCTTCGCTTCACCAAGATCCTTCATCTCAAACTCCTTGTTTAATTGAGTTTTTAGTTTCGTAATTTCTGTCTGACTCTTGGAAACTATCAACATATCATCAACATAAAGAAGAAGATATATATATGATCCGTCTTATAACTTGTGTAAATACATACAATGATCATATTTGCTTCTTGTGTACTTCTGCCCTATCATAAACTTATCAAATCGCTTGTACCACTGTCTTGGAGATTGCTTCAATCCGTACAACGATTTTTCTAATTTGCACACCATCTCTTCTTTTTTAGCAACTTTGAATTCATCTAGCTGAGTCATGTAGATTTCCTCATCCAAGTCTCCATGTAAAAATACAGTTTTTATATCACTCTGAACTAGTTCCAAATCCAACTGCGCTACCAAAGCCAACAAAATTCTGATGGAGGAATGTTTTACAACTGAAGAAAATAGTTCATTGTAATCAACTCCCTCCGTTTGAGCGTATCCTTTAGCCACCAATCTTGCTTTGTAGCGGATGTTATTCTTGTCAGGAAATCCATCTTTCTTTGCATATACCCACTTGCACCCAATTGCCTTCTTTCCCTTCGGAAGACTAGTTAGTTTCCACGTCTGATTATTTTGAAGGGATTGCGTTTCTTCATTCATGGCGATCCTCGACTTTTTATGTTATGAACTTTGGGATGATTCATTAAAAGTGGCAGGAACGTCATCAATTGTAATTGGTGATGCAAAAGAGACCATATCGGTATAACGAACATGTTGTCTAATGGTCCTCTTTCCCTTTATGAGTGTAATTAATTCATGTTGTTGTGGAGGTTCTTGGGTCTGAACCTCTTCTTCATATAACTCTTCTTCTACCATATGAGAGTCAACATCAGTTTCTTTACCGGCTGGGACAATTCTGCTTCCTTCAAACTCCACCTGTTTGGGAGTTCCATCTGTCTGCTCCAATTTTTCTGAAGTCACCTTTCTCAACATGGTAGTTTCATCAAAGGTAACATCCCTACTGAAGATTATTTTCTTTGTTTCTAGACACCAAAGACGATAGCCTTTCACACCAGAGGTGATCCCCATAAAGATCACCTTCTTTGCTTTTGGATCCAGCTTTGACTCCTTAACATGGTAGTATATAGTGGAGCCAAACACATGTAAGGAATCATAATCTGTAGCAGGTTCTCCAAACCATTTCTCTAATGGTGTTTTACCACCAATAACAATCGATGGTAAGCGGTTGATAAGGTGACAAGCATAGACCAAAGCCTCAGCTCAGAATTCTTTGCCTAACCCAACATTAGACAACATACACCGAACCTTCTCCACTAATGTCCGGTTCATACGTTCTGCCGCCACATTCTGTTGTGGTGTATATCTGATAGTGAAGTGCCTGACAATACCTTCTTCTTCACAGACTTTCAGAAATTGATCATTTTTGTACTCTCCACCATTGTTTGTACGGAGACGTTTGATTTTTCTGCCTGTTTGAGTCTCCACCATCTTTTTCCATTTAAGGAAAAATCATAGCACCTCATCCTTTGTCTTCATTGTATACACCCAAACTCTTCGAGAAAAATCATCAACAAATGTGACATAATAGTGTGTTCATCCTAAAGAAGTCTTGGAAGGCCCCCATACATCTGAATGAACATAATCCAAAATACCTTTAGTATCATGGATAGTTGTTCCAAATTTCACCCTCGTCTTCTTCCCTTAGATGCAATGCTTACAAAAAGCTAATTTGCAAGCCCGAGCACACTTCAATAATTCTTGATCTATCAGCAATTTCAAGGATTTTTCACCAACATGCCCCAAGCGCATATGCCATAACCTGGTTGCTTCTGATTTCTGTTCATCAGTAGAAGTTGACACTGCTGCTGTCCCAACAATTATACTACCCAGAAAGTAATACACATTGTTTCTTTTCCGGATTCCCTTCATTATCACCAGTGCACCAGAGATAATCCTTATAATCCCATCTTTTGCCCTCATTTCTAAACCTTTTGACTCTAAGGTTCCCACATAGATGAGATTTCTCATTAAATCTGGTACATAATGGACACATGTTAAGGTTCTGATTGATCCATCCTGATTCCTCAAGCGAATTGAACCAATCCCAAGTGTGTCAAGAGGGGAATTATTTGTTGTGTAGACAATTCCACCTTTTAGTTCTTTAAAATCAAAGAACCATTCTCTATTAGGGGTCATATGGTGGCTACAAGCTGAATCTAACAGTCATGAACTGGAACAGCTGGTTGATGGCGTAGCAGCGAATGCGAAATCTGAATCTGCATCATTATACTCGTCCACATTTGACTATGAGACAACCTTTCCCCTTTCAGGTTTGCCTTTATTCTTTAGCCTGTGACATTCTTTCTTCCAATGCCCTTTTTCTCGACAAAAGACACATTCATCTATGCTCAATCTGGACTTTGACTTCGATCTCCCTCTCATTCCTTTATTATGACTCTTCGAATGACCTCTAATAATAAGAGCATCTGCTTCGACACTTGTATTTTCTTGTTTCTCTTTCTTTCTCAATTCATAACTATACAAGGCAGCAGTTACTTCACTGAGAGATACATCAACCTTCCCATGAAGTAGAGTAGTTTCAAGATACTCAAACTCATCAGGAAGTGATCCCATCAACATCAGAGCCAGATCTTCGTCTTCAAAAATCATGTCAATATTCATCATATCAGTCACCAGCTGATTAAAGCTAGTAATGTGATCATTCATAGTGGTACTTGGTACATAGTTGAAGTGGAACAATCCCTTTTTCATGTAGAGCTTGTTCTGTCCGCTTTTCTTCAAAAATTTCTCCTCCAATGTCTTCCACAATTTACTTGCAGAAGTTTCCTTAGAAAATGCATACTTATGCTCTCTAGAAAGACGCGATCGAATAGTACCACATGTCAATCTATTGATCATCTTCCATCTTTCTCCTCAACATCATCTGGTTTCTCTCCCTCAATAGCAATGTCTAGACCCTGCTGAAATAAGGCATCTAGAACCTCACTTTGCCACATGCCGAAATGACCAGTGCCATCAAAAATCTCCACAGCAAATCTAACATTTGTCACAACATTTCTTGCCAAAATTGAAGATGAAGAAGCTGTTGACGATGATGTGGTTGTTTTTATGTCGTCTATCATTTGTGCTACAAATTCTATTTAACAGCTGTGCGGAATGTCAATTAGCCAAATGAAATTTTTTTCTGATGTGGAAGATCAGCCTAAGCCGCAACCACAGAGCATACAAAAATAAACCAAGAGCTCTGATATCAATTGTTGTGGAATTCGGGTTAATTTCCACCAATAATAACAAATTCACCTTGAAAACTATTATCTATGTGACTATTGTGAAAACAATTGTACTAAAAATCACCACAATGTAGATTCCCAGGAAAGTGTGGAAGGGTCACAATGATCCCTCTTAAAACCCACTCTCCTTAGACAGAACTACCAAGACATGTAATTTTAATAGGATAATAATTAACAACAACTATACCCGACAATAGATATTAAATAGATATAAAAGAGAACACCAAAATTTAACGAGGTTAGGCCAAATCAGCAATTTCAAGGATTTTTCACCAACATGCCCCAAGCGCATATGCCATAACCTGGTTGCTTCTGATTTCTGTTCATCAGTAGAAGCTGACACTGCTGCTGTCCCAACAATTATACTACCCAGAAAGTAATACACATTGTTTCTTTTCCGGATTCCCTTCATTATCACCAGTGCACCAGAGATAATCCTTATAATCCCATCTTTTGCCCTCATTTCTAAACCTTTTGACTCTAAGGTTCCCACATAGATGAGATTTCTCATTAAATCTGGTACATAATGGACACATGTTAAGGTTCTGATTGATCCATCCTGATTCCTCAAGCGAATTGAACCAATCCCAAGTGTGTCAAGAGGGGAATTATTTGTTGTGTAGACAATTCCACCTTTTAGTTCTTTAAAATCAAAGAACCATTCTCTATTAGGGGTCATATGGTGGCTACAAGCTGAATCTAACAGTCATGAACTGGAACAGCTGGTTGATGGCGTAGCAGCGAATGCGAAATCTGAATCTGCATCATTATACTCGTCCACATTTGACTATGAGACAACCTTTCCCCTTTCAGGTTTGCCTTTATTCTTTAGCCTGTGACATTCTTTCTTCCAATGCCCTTTTTCTCGACAAAAGACACATTCATCTATGCTCAATCTGGACTTTGACTTCGATCTCCCTCTCATTCCTTTATTATGACTCTTCGAATGACCTCTAATAATAAGAGCATCTGCTTCGACACTTGTATTTTCTTGTTTCTCTTTCTTTCTCAATTCATAACTATACAAGGCAGCAGTTACTTCACTGAGAGATACATCAACCTTCCCATGAAGTAGAGTAGTTTCAAGATACTCAAACTCATCAGGAAGTGATCCCATCAACATCAGAGCCAGATCTTCGTCTTCAAAAATCATGTCAATATTCATCATATCAGTCACCAGCTGATTAAAGCTAGTAATGTGATCATTCATAGTGGTACTTGGTACATAGTTGAAGTGGAACAATCCCTTTTTCATGTAGAGCTTGTTCTGTCCGCTTTTCTTCAAAAATTTCTCCTCCAATGTCTTCCACAATTTACTTGCAGAAGTTTCCTTAGAAAATGCATACTTATGCTCTCTAGAAAGACGCGATCGAATAGTACCACATGTCAATCTATTGATCATCTTCCATCTTTCTCCTCAACATCATCTGGTTTCTCTCCCTCAATAGCAATGTCTAGACCCTGCTGAAATAAGGCATCTAGAACCTCACTTTGCCACATGCCGAAATGACCAGTGCCATCAAAAATCTCCACAGCAAATCTAACATTTGTCACAACATTTCTTGCCAAAATTGAAGATGAAGAAGCTGTTGACGATGATGTGGTTGTTTTTATGTCGTCTATCATTTGTGCTACAAATTCTATTTAACAGCTGTGCGGAATGTCAATTAGCCAAATGAAATTTTTTTCTGATGTGGAAGATCAGCCTAAGCCGCAACCACAAAGCATACAAAAATAAACCAAGAGCTCTGATATCAATTGTTGTGGAATTCGGGTTAATTTCCACCAATAATAACAAATTCACCTTGAAAACTATTATCTATGTGACTATTGTGAAAACAATTGTACTAAAAATCACCACAATGTAGATTCCCAGGAAAGTGTGGAAGGGTCACAATGATCCCTCTTAAAACCCACTCTCCTTAGACAGAACTACCAAGACATGTAATTTTAATAGGATAATAATTAACAACAACTATACCCGACAATAGATATTAAATAGATATAAAAGAGAACACCAAAATTTAACGAGGTTAGGCCAAAATTATGTCTACGTCCTCGAACACTACTAAAATAATGTCACTAATAGAGGAAATATTACAAAGAGAGAGAAAGAGTACAAATAGCCTTTAATATAGAAGAAGACTTATATTTGTGGGATGCTAAACTAAGGAGGAGGAGGACTCTATCTATAACAAAAGAATTTCCCCTCCTCCTTATACAAAACCGATGTTGAATTCAAAATTTGCCAAAAAAACCAACACTTTGGACCATAAGTTAATGTATACCCAATTTGGTCAGTATGAACTTACCAAAGCGATTGCTTTAGTAGCTATCAACAGGTATAGTAATACAAAGCGAATTACAAAAGAAAAAGAAGAAATGAGGTGGGGAAATGGGAGCGAGATTGAGATGTTTTCTCTCTAAAAAAATAAAAAACGAGGATATCATGCCAAAATTCTACAATGGATTGTCGAGTTATTATATTATGAACTTGACACTGTACCTTCACACCACGTCATTTCCAACTGTTGGGATTTTCTCCTCTCAGCTTCATTATGTAACAGCTTGATATTATGATATATATATATCGGTACATGTGTATATATATAATATTTTGGGACCTTGAAAGATACACTGAGCTGACATGTGAAACTATACCATATCAAACTTTCACCTGCTCAAAACTGATACATTCATCATTGATGTGCATAGGAATATAGGCACAACATAAGATAGTGAATATTAAAAAAACCCAACACCAACGTTCCTAGAAATAACATTCTAGCAACAATTTTCATTTATAATTCCCTACCCGTACAATCTGTAGCTCATACATAATGAAAATACACTAAACTTGATGCAACTCCACGGAATTAGTTAATATAATGGATATTGAGATGATGTAGATTCCGGCAAAGATGTTAGCCTTTGAGCTTACTCTCTAACCACCCACTATTTTTTTTTTTAAAAAGGATGTCAAAGCCCCCCCAACCCCAACCATACTTGCCTCTAGCTTTAGCTTTACTCCTACTCAACACACCTTGTAAAATTTATAAAATAAAATAAATACCACCTCATCATACACCGTTGAGTTCAATTCCTCTAAGCTTAATTTCCCTCCAAACCTGAGCATTACGGCTTCTCCTTCAACCATCATGATGAAAGCTTACAGAGGAAAGCTACCTCTTTCTGTTATCACAGTTATAGTCTGCGCTTTTGCATTCCTTGCTCTTTTATTCACTGAAAGACTAACTTTTCTTTCTTCCAATCCGATTCTCAAATCCAAGCCCTGTGCTAGAAGAGCTGCTGTTGTAAAACCTAGTAAGTAAATTCAACAGGGCTTTGTTTATTGTACTGAACTTGTAATATTGAACTGTCTTTGTCCCACAGGTTATCATAAAACTGCAGAGGAGAACCTACAAAACACCGAAATCGACGACAGGTTCGAGTTCGACCCTGAAGAGTGTGATATTACTCGAGGCAAGTGGGTGTTCAACAGCTCTATCAAGACACTGTACAATGATAGTAGTTGTCCGTACCTGGACAGGCAATACGCTTGCGTCAAAAATGGTCGCCTTGATTTCGACTACCATCACTGGGAGTGGCAGCCCCACGACTGCAACTCGCCTAGGTAACAAAGTTTTTACTTAAAAAATCGTCGACTTGATTCTTGCATGGAATTGAAACCAGTTCTTTTGTGTTTTTTCCGTTTAGATTTGATCCAGAACGTACACTTAAAAAGCTTCGAGGCAAAAGGCTTCTCTTTGCAGGTGATTCTTTGCAAAGAAATCAATGGGAATCTTTCGTTTGCATGGTTGAGTGGACTATACCTCCAGGAAAGAAGTCTATGAAACTAGGCAATGTTCGTTCAGTCTTCAAAGCTAAGGTATTGAATTTTATTGATAGGCCTTGTAAGCACTTGAAAACAAAGCTAACGTTTTTTTTTACCTATTTCAGGAATATAATGCAACTATCGAATTTTATTGGGCCCCGTTTCTTGTTGAATCGAATTCGGATATCGACGTTTTGGATCCGAAGAAGAGAATACTGAAAGTTGATTCAGTCGCCAAGCACTCCAAACACTGGGAAGGAGCTGATATCCTTGCGTTTAATTCTTACGTTTGGTGGATGATTGGTCTTAGACTTAAAACACTGTAAGTTGTCTGTCGAAAACCCTTTTTATCTGCTTCAACGAAGCGGTTCCTTGTGAGTTAAGGTACTAATTTCGTACCTATGGGGTAAGAACAGATGGGGTTCATTCGCAAACGGTGAAGAAGGTTATTCGGAGCTGGATACACCGGTTGCCTACCGAATAGGTTTGAAAACATGGGCCAACTGGATCGATTCGACCATAAATCCCAACAAGACTCGCGTTTTTTTCACAACTATATCCCCTGTACATACAAGGTTAGCATCTGAACAGAAAACAAGATGAATTTCCACTCGAATTTGCTAAAAGGAATAATCTGTTGTGTCCGCAGAAGCCAGGATTGGGGCAAGAATAATGGGCTGAAATGTTTCAACGAAACGAAGCCGGTGATGAAGAAGATGTGGGGAAGTGGTTTGGACAAGACGATGATGGGCGTGGTGGCGGATGTGGTGAAGAAAATGAAAGTTGCGGTAACGATTGTTAATATAACGCAGCTGTCGGAGTACCGGGTAGATGCACATTCGTCGATTTATACGGAGACTGGAGGAAGACTGTTAACCGATGAGGAAAAAGCCGACCCCAGACGCCATGCAGATTGCATACATTGGTGCCTGCCTGGAGTTCCAGATACTTGGAATCAAATATTTTCAGCACTTTTGTAAAAAGTTTCGCCTGTTGCAAATTGTCAAGTCATTTCATAATTTGTTTCAATGAAATGGCGGTTAATTTGTTATTAAAACTCAAAGGAATCAAATGTTGAACCAACATTTAAGAATGGGATAATATCAAAACCTTAAATTTTATTTCAGGAAAACAAAATATTAAATTACAATAAATTTTAGTTTTTTTAATTAAAAAACAGATTTTTTAAAATTATACAATCTTTTAAAGTTGGTCTAGTGGGATGAGCTATTAAATCTCTAGGTTGAGAGAGTTGTCGTTGCTTTTACACTAACCGATCTAGATTAGTTGATCAATAGACCGGATACCAGTGATTATAAAAAAATGGAAGTTTTATTAGTTTATATTATTACCGAATACAAAAGTCCAATTTAGGAAGCAATTTATAAGTTTAGAAGTAACTTGTAAGTTTTATTAAAAATGATACTATAATTTGCTTAACAAGTAAATTTATCTTTAAAAAACAAATAAATTTAAAGTTTTCATATTTAAGAGATATTATTTCAATATTTTAATATATTTTCAGAGCTCTCTTCGGTGGTTTTGGTCATAATTCAAATTCTTTGTTCTAATATTCTAATAGTAGTTTCAGTTTTTTATGTTATGTTATTCTACCTCAGATGATAATACGTTATGAATGGCAGGCTGGCTGAACATTTTTTCCCCAGAAACCTACAGCTAATTTCTAGTGGTTTCCGTCTTGTTTCATCCTGGAGTAATGTCTGCATAGTTCAATATAGTTTTAAATTTGATTTAATTTCGTTGCTGTGTATATATAACAACTTGATTATTCTAGTAACTATTAATATTCTGCTAAAAGGACTTGATTATAAAAGGAAGCTGGATCTTAAGACTTAAAAAAAAGAAATACTTTTGGTATGAAAAGAAAAGCAAATTTGAATAATATAATACAGCTTTTGCTTTAAAGCTTAAGCGCAATCAAAATTAAGGTAGTGACTACCTTATCGGTTATTGTTCTGTCTTGCATTTGGTTGCCTAGACCGGTCTTAATCTCATCGGATGCTGCAACGAGCTTAACAGTGGATAAGCGACAAACGGATACGCCAGGGCTCGTGGCATTGCTGCTTGCGTTGTCACATTTACAGTTGGGGGTTCAGCGGTTTGAACGCCATTGCCGGTGCTTATAGTGACAACATGCTTCTTATCTGCATTGTCCAATGACTATGGAACTAGCAGTATGGATGCAAAGGCTTTTCTTTCTTTTTTGGGTAGCGAGACAAGCTTCAAAAGCATGAGAGTAAACTAGTAAGCCTAATATATAATTTGTATTCTACAGGCGATAAATAAAATTTTGGTTCAACATTTGGCACGATAAAAGTAGTTGAACTAATTAATCACATAATACAAAACGGTATAGCGGAAACTCGAAACCAATGCATATGTATATATGCGCAGCTAATTACAAGTTGATGGTTACTCCTCTTGCACCATTGACGTAAGGTGAAGGTGAAGTCATCTCCGACGCATGCCAACCATGCTTTCTTTGGTCATATTGTTCTCCGTCACCCCAAAGGGCATACGCTTCTTCTCCGTGGACGGCATCATCTCCGATCTCGAGCTGGTTATCCGGCATTCTCAATGGTATAAATAGCCTTATTACTAGTAGAATCAAAGTCGTGGACATTACATTCCAAGCAATAACAAACAAGGCCGCTACTATTTGCTTAGCGAATTGAACCCCTCCATTCCCTCCATAAAATGCACCCCTCGTGTTACTCGAAAGTATCAGCTTGCAGAGGTTTGGCTCCGCTAATAGCCCCGTGACGAGACCGCCCATCAGACCGGCCACCGCGTGCGTGTGAAACACACCCAGAGCATCATCTACCTGTGGCCATAAGTGTGAAAATATCACAATCAAATAACTATGATGGCTTCAACAGTAGTGTGCTCAATAATGGTTAACAATTAACTGCTATGCTAATGATATGGTATAAATAAAAGTGCTCACAATTCCACCACCGAAAGAGACTGGAAAGTTAATTAAGGTAGGGCGAAGCTGATGATTTGCGAGTTGAGGTGATGATTTAACATTTATGGCATTTGGTCCTTGTGGTGGGATCAAAAATCAAATGTGAACCTTTGGGTTGGGACCAGGACTCCCCTAAATTCAATGGCCTTGGACAATTCTCAGTTCCCACTTGTTGTCAAAGTCAAAACAGGCTACCTAATTTTAATCTTTCTAGTTTCTAGACATTAATGTAAATACATTTCAATGTGGAAAAAGAAGATGAAACCAACAGCTGGTCAAACTAGATGAGTAGGAATATTGTACGGTCGACATACCTTTTGTAACCAGCTGCTTTTTTTGTGAATAATCATCATGGATACCCATGGAACACTGCCGGCGAGCATTCCCATGACTATAGCAGCCCATGATTGCACCAAGCCTGCTCCCGGTGTGATGCAGGCGAGCCCTGTTATCATTCCTTGAACGGCGCCGATAACGGAAGGTTTCCCGAAGAATATGACGTCGAGACATGTCCAGACGAGAATGCTAGTTGCTGCGGAAACATTTGTGTTGAGTACTGCTATTGAAGAGTCGATGTTAGCGGCATACGGGGCTCCTCCGTTGAACCCAGACCATCCCATCCATAGCAACCCGGCACCCGCGAGCATCAGCAGAACGTTGTTGGGAGGAAACCGATCTCTGTCGCTTTTGATCCTGGGGCCTACCCAGTATGCAGCTGTGAGACCGGAGATCCCGGAGGAGAGGTGAATCACGTATCCGCCGGAGTAATCGATGGCACCCCATCGATAGAGAAAGCCTCCACCCCAGAGGCTATAAGCTCCGACGGTATACGAGAATATAAGCCAAAGTGGCACAAACGCCATCCACGCTCTGATATCCATGCGACCAAGAACCGAACCAGCGAGCAGAATAAGAGTAATAGCAGCAAAAGTGAATTGGAAATACACAAGCGTTGCCATGGGATACAAAGGCTCCGTGGCGACCCTCTCGGGAACTTTGGCTCGGCCAACGAGATAGCCTTGGCTAAGAGCCGGTGCTCCCTTCCCCCAAAAAGGGAGGAGCTCGTCACCAAAGGCCATACGGTAACATAAAAGGACCCAGCAAATCAGAACCGCCGCAAAGGCATAAAGTGCCATAAAAGCCGAGTTTACTGCCCATTTTTTCTTCACAATACTCGCATAGAGGATAACAAGTCCAGGCATACTCTGAATTCCCACCAGAGTCGATGCCGTCATTTGCCATGCGTTGTCTCCTTTGTTTAGCCACAGGGGCACCGCCGGAGCGATTTCTTGTCCTGTGTAGGCTATCTGACCGGCGGCCATGGCAGCTGCAAAGGGTTGACAAAGAATCACTCTCTGGGACAAAATATTGTGTCATATGTGGTGCTCAACAAGTCCTATGTCATATATATATAATATTATAATTTAGGTGGGTTGTTGATAGAAGAAAGAATGCATTGTTGACTAATATTCGTTTACTTGCTTCCACACGATACTAATAATTCCTGGTAAATTCTTCGGAAGGTTCGTATAAATAATGAGATTTTGTTTTATGTGATCATTCTCTTAATTAAATTAGAGTTTCCAAGTTGAAAATATTGATTTGGTACATGGGCTCTGTCTTTTGACCCACATGGAACCGTTGCCAACTTGCTAAGCAAAGAGATGGGTCAATGGCTCAATGCATGTGATATTAGAAAACACCGCTTGTTCGAAAATCTTTAAACCTCGTATGATTGCAACTGCAATCTAATCAGACGGATGAAATTAGGTCTACGTGGTCTATATATATTTCAAGCTCTAGACACTGCTAAACATTTTTTTTGTTAATAATGTTAATTTCATTTCATATGTTAATGGCATCGAGAAGTATATTTTTTTTTGATACAATCTGATTTGTCGAAATAAAATAAATACAGTTGGTTCATGACAAATCCCAATGAGCAAGGGTTATGTGAACCTATTCAACATCATATTCATCCTTGCATCTGCATCCTTTCACAAGATTCAAAAGGGGACTTTCTCTAACTTATTCTTTTTCTATATTATGTTTATGATCATTATATTCATAATATATGATTCATATTTCATTTGCTATGACATGGATATATTTATTTATATATTTTACATTTATAGTTGTAATAATAATATTTATTCATTATCATATGATGCAGAAATTATTATTATAACCTATAATCCACATCTTTATATTATATATATTGATACTTTATATTAGTTCATATACTTAACTTAAACTCTATCTCTTTGATGAAGGTACATACAACTACACCTATGGGAGTTGAATTGAGCTAAAGGATGAAGTCTAAGGCAAGGAAACTTACATAGGAGCACTCAGGAGAGCATAAGGATCAAGTGGTGAAAAGTTGTCCGGTGACAAGTGAGCTCATAGCTGGATTGAGCTGAAGATTTGAGCTAGAAAAAGACTTAAATTCGGCTAGGGAGCTGCACCAACATCATCTATTACCAAAAGACATCATATTTGTGAAAAATTACTTTTTCTCAATTCATACCTTTTTGCGAATAGGTGCTTTTTTCGGGTTATACCTTTTCATGAGGAGCTGCCAAATGAATCAACACATTAAGGAACATCAACGATTAGCTCATCATCATCTCACTCACCTTGCAACCTGCCTATTCATGAAGAGGTTTCATCCATACGTCATGACCATTCATAAAGGTGCTGCCATGGAAGGATGTCATTGAAGAGAGGTGTGCATTGGTGAAGTCAATTCGATCAAAAGATTCTTAAAATGAGAAGAGACATGAAGAAGCCAAGGGAGAAGTTTGGCGCCAAAGTGAAAGAGCACAAGTCTATTCGGCCAAACAAGATGTAACCACTCTTAGTCGAATCATCATGCCTCCTTTTGAAGAGTTAGTCGAACCATCTCCATGTCAAAGGATTTATTCAATCATTTAAAGCATTATGTACATTTATTTAAACACATTCATTGGCCGAAACATTACATGCCTATTCGGTCATGGCCTTTCTTTCCTATAAATAGGAAGGCGTTTCATTTGTAAAAGATATCTCATTTTTTAATCAAATCTCTCTATCAAGTTCTTTAAGAACTATATCGATTAAGCAAATATATTTTTAGACTTGTGGTGTCGTTCTATTCAATTTGATTCTTATAATTCATAGATTCAATATCTAGTGGGTTTAAAACACTTCTACCATCCCTCAAGCAAGTTTACAAAGAACGGGGCTTTGCTTCTTAGCATTGTTTCCTCTTCGGCAAGTTTGAGATACTTTCTTCACCATAGCCGTCCATCTTTATCACTACATCAACCATCTTCATCAACACCATTAAAGGCCACAATCATCATCACATATCTTCCGCTACCAACTCTTTCATTACTTTATTTTCTATTTCATTTTACTTAAGTTTATTTCATTTCAATTTCTAATATTTTCCTTTAACTTTCCTTTATTGCAGCCATACTTAAAATTTAAGGGCATCATTTGATGTCTCTCCTAGATCGGGAACACAATAAGACTCTCTATTCCCTTCTTCTTGAAGAGTGTAGATTCACCTTACATCAAAGGGAGTGTACAACTCTATTGGCCTCCCGATTAACATAATACACTTTAATGTTCAAGTAGTGTTTAACGACGTCACGAGCCTTGTTAAGCATCAATTCGATCACTAAAATGTCTTCTTAGTTGTTTGCTAATCGATTCACAATAATTATGGCATCACCTTCAATAATTGCTTCATTCCATCCATTTTCGAGTGCAAATTTTATGCCCTATGTAAAAGCTTCAGCTTCGACTGATTTTGGGATGCGACAGCCTTGCAATCTACGTGCAACCCCACCTATGATCATTCCATGATGGTCCCTTGCAACCACTCCAATGGCTGCAGCTCCGGAGCTGGGCAACCATGCACCGTCCACATTAATTTTAACACCTCTCTCTGCTGGCTTGATCCAAACATGCTTGGTTCTGCTAAACATATCTTCACTTTAGAAGTAAAGGGCATGCTTGGTTCTGCCGGCCAACCAAGGTTCTTTTTATTTATCTAAATGGTGATTTGGTCGATTATTTAGAAAATCAATAATTGCATTTTTCTTTGTATTTATTGTTTTCCTTAACATAATCTAGTCTCAGCTCACTTACAAATAAAATAGAATCTATATATCTTTTTATACATGAAACGTACATACAATTCTACTAACAGCACTTATTATATCTTTAATACATTATTTGTGAATTATGAGCTATGTTTCAGTTTCTTTCTTATATCATTTGCAAATCCTTTTAAAAAAAAAGTTTAAAAACACTTCATAAGGATTAAATTAATGCATTTCAATTATTAAAGCAACTTACGGGTAAAGAAAACTAGTTTAATCTGTTAATTTACGCTTGGAATATAAGAAAGAAACAAATCGAAGCCATGCAATTATTATTCTGCATGATACACCACAAAGCCCCGACTAAGCTTTTTGGAAAATGGTATTAATTTTCTGCCAAGGCGATTGCTACTTGACCTTCAAAAAACAATGCAGTTTGTGATAGAACAAGAAAATAAGACTGTTATTAATACCTGGAGTATCTTGGACATTTACCACCTAATGTCCGAGTAGTGATCCCTCCTCTTGTATATCGGTTCGAATTTAGAAAATCATGCAAGATTGAGAGAGAAAAAAAGATATTATGAGGGAGCAGGAGAAGATCAGTCCCAGCTAAAGAAAGCCACCTTCACAATAGCTATATACAAACCTGATAACAATTAACATTTACCACAATTCAGAATTCAAGACAAATGAACCAGCTAGGCTCTTGAGAATTCAAGACAAATCCTAACTTTGGTGAATCAAATTTCAAAGACTATGAGCCATAATGTTTCATCTCCAATTAAATTAAAACTAATTCAGAGGAAAAATTAAAGAGGTTAAGTTCTGTTAAACTATCTCATGTTGGCATCATCGAGTGTCATAAATACAGAGCTCTTCTAAGCAATTTCACATATATTATGGGAAAGGATTACTGAAGACTTTCAGGGAAGAAAATCATGAACACAATTCAGAGGATATGAAGAATCGAAGTCTTCAAAGATCTGACAAGTCAGAGAAGATAAGGAATGTGTTATTTGACTCCAAATTTCAAATCCAATGCACTAGTTTAAAAAGTAGTGAATTTTCTTCTACCTTTATCCAGAGTATCAAGTGATAGGGGAAATAAATCTAGTAACCTTAAAGCTTTGAATCAAAGCTCTCAATACATTCCTACCATGTATCAAACAATCTAACATATGAGTTATGACTAGATCAACTAATTACTGGTCGAAGCTAGAAAATGCCTAAATGCCTTACCGATAGCAATCGTCCATCCTTTTATTTAGGACCCATTTTGATATGATCAGAAAAGATCTAAAGTGAAAAACAAAACTGTATAATATAAGAAGATATGGATTCGAGACATACTCGGTTGCTGTACACAGTACATAGCAATTCATAAACCGTGTCTGTCTGCAATAAAAACAGAGTTAACAAAAGGAAATGTCATGAAAAGAAAACCTCAAAACTTACAAAAGATAAACAGAATGCTAAAAACCATGTTCATTGAGATCACTAAATTAACAAGTTCAAAGAAGCTTTTAGCATTAACAGGCGAACACACATAATACGTATGATAGGACAGGGCTAAGGCAGAAACTGAGGCTGAAACTAAGAAAAGCTTTGCTGAATAAAAGAAGAATTGGTAGAAACTCGAATAGGTTAAGCAAACAGAACCCATTTTTAGAGAAAGAGGATAAGAAAACAAAAATACAGTGGTTAGGAAAGCCCCGGAGATTCTATTGGTGATTGAAAGTGTTGAATTAAGCTGTGGCTCGTAAATAGGAAGATGAGGAGATAACGGGCGAAGGATAATTTTTTGCTCGCCGGTTCCCCTCTTATTTGATTCTTTGACTTCGCCTTTCGCAATCGTTGCCATACCACGGGAAGTAGAGAAAAATGGGTTCTTCATTAACTGATCTCTCGTGTTCACGACTTGGCTCGGGCTCCTTGTTGGAGAGAGAGGATCAAACACGTCTGCAACACGAAAAATGGAAGAGCCAAAATAAGCATCAATTTTAGATAATCAGAAGAAAGAAAGGGAAAAAACGAAAGAACTCTCGATGAGAAACAGATCCGTGGACGACTGAAACCGTTACCCTCGCGCATGGCGTTTGTGCCGGAGACTCTGGAGATGGACGGAGCGGTGACAATTGAGCGGACCATGCGGAAGGAGCTTGGGAGGATGTTCGATGACGATGAGACGAGCCTCTTGAGAGCTAGAGAAGAAGCCATAGCTGCTGATAGCTAGACAGAAAGTTCCCAAAATTTGGTTGGAGGTTTTGCCTATTAAGGATGGGTAAAATAATATACATGATAGGAAGCGGGTATTAATGGGCCGAATTTAGTCCCCATTTATATGCATTACATTAATTCTATAAAATCTCTTGTTTTGAAGTATGAATTTTAAATCTTATTTATTTATTTAAATAATGAATTTTAAATCTTATTTATTTAAATAACTAATTTCAATTTATTTTTATTGATCTAAATTAGTTCCATTCTATATTAGTTCAAAGAAGCTTTTAGCTTTAACGTGGTTTTGAAGGTTCAACGGCAACACACATTCGTTTATTCAATAAGAAAAAAAAAAGCATTAACAGGCGAAACACAAAGAATATTTTTAAAATAAATAAAAATAAATTCGTATACTCTAATTTGTGTTTTTGGCATCTCAAGGAAGCAAAAAAAAAAATTATTTAGTAGTTGATTGAGTTTACATTCTTTAGTGTGATTATTCAAACTCTTATAAGATAATTATATTGTGCATATATCATTTAAGTCAAGATTAAAAATTTAAAACTCAAAGAATATAAAGATTGAAATTAATTAAATTAAAGCTAATCACAAATTAAATAGCATTGTCCTATTTCTTTCCGTTCTTATACCTAGTTTAAAGATTATATCATTAGTCCAAACATAATCGTAGGGGATTATTGTAGGTTTAAAATTTATATGTGCAAAATAGATGTTGGTGCAATTAGGATTTCCTACTGTGTTCAGTTATAGGTTTTAGTGAGAAATGGAGACAATTGATTCATTCATCACCACTGTTTGGTACCAAGTAATTATGAATGGCAGTCCTTTTGAATCCTTTATGTCCAAGCATGGGTTACATCATTGTATTTCTTTCTAATGTGTCAGAATGTGCTTCTGTTCATGATACTCAAAGCTGGAAGGGAACAATCAATGCAAGCTGTTGGTGTTGCCCGTAAGAATCCACCGCTTTCTCATTTGCTATTCGCAGATCAAACAGCTCCTGACCATAGTTACAGGAAGCTGCATATGTGTAATTGGACGAAACTGTGTGAGCCTGTCGATAAAAGTGGTTTAGGCACTAAGAAGAAGCACGGAGGCTGCTCGGCGCTCGCAGCCCCTGAAAATTGAACTTAACCCACTTTGCATTCTAAATACTGCAACAAAAGTGAGATGATTCTTGGATCCGGAAAGGTATATTGATCTGCAAATAAGGAATGGATATCCTGGTTGGGGTTGGTCCAACATGTCAGAAATCAACTGGCTGAACATTGGCTTCAGGAGCTGCAATCCAGAGGGTTCTCCTTCTCCACTACTGGTGGTAAGGATAGATTGATTTGGAAACTCAATCCTAATGGTAAATTTTCAGTTAAATCTGCAGGATGAAGGATGACAGTGATTAACTGGAAGGCTCTTTGGAGGTTCAAAATCCTTCACAATTATCAGACTCCATATGAATATCACTGTGCATGAAGGGATCCTGCAGGCAAGTTGCTGGCAAGATTGTCATACATTGGGAACTGGAACCTGTTATGGTTGATATTCATCAACTTCAATCCAGTTGTGCGTTAGGTTTCGGTAGCTTCATCGTTATATTTCTTTTTCTTTTTCAATTTCATTATTTTAACCAATTCTTTGATTCTTTCGTTATGTTGACCGATTTACCTTCCTAAATGTATAATTTCAAATAGGTTTCGGAGATAATCATTTATTCCCATGACAACTCTGGCCTTTATCTTCTTATTTTTCCTCTATAGCTTTTAGAATACGATAAATTACGTGTTTAGTAATTATACTATTAGTTTTGGTCGTTTTAGTATTTAAAATTTCAATTTTTTCAAAATCATACCTAACATTTAGTTTTTATTTCATTTTAGTACCCGTTATTAAAAACTTAACGTGTTTGCTACCTAAATGATCAGTTTGGGTCTGCTTTAGTACTTAAACTTTCGTTTTTTTTTTCAAAACTTAAGTATGGTTTAGGTACTAAATGATTTTGGTATCTAAACTTTCAATTTTTTCAATACTTAAGTTTTGGTACTAAAAATGAAACAAAACTAAACTTTAGGTATGATTTTGAAAAATTTAAAAGTTTAAGTACTAAAATTAATCAAAATTAATAGTTTAGATACTAAATGTATAATTTTCTCTTTAAAATATTATTTTACCCATTTTTTAAGGTGAAAACTGATAATTTTATCCTAAAAATATATGAACAACTCGCCTTATAGTAAGGCGAAAGCACGTCACATAAGAATTAAGAAGTCCTTTCGAAGGTGTGTCATACAAAACACGTCTTCTGTGTACGTGGCGACGATTTAGGTCCAAATGAAAAAAAAAGTAAAAAACATTAAAAAAAGTTTTAAAGTAGAACATCTATAAATTAATTCTCGATAAATTAATAATCTCTAAAATAATATTTTTTTTTTGGTCCCAACTTGAACCTAAGGTCTAAATTAATAATTTTGATAAATTAATAAGATAATAATTTTTTTAAAGACCCTTATATAAATTTATGATTATTCAAAATTATAAATTAATAACTCTATAAAATTACAAATATAACTATGATAACTTAGTGAAATATGATTTTATTGTTGTTTGATTCTTCTTAAAATTCAAATCTAATTGTATTTCATATTTAGTTTTCCTTACTGCATTCAAAAGTTTCGGTGTTGTTTTCTCATACTGCAACAAAAATTGTGAAGAGTTGTTGTTATGAGTACTTCTTTCCATGTAATTGGTTGCAAAGGCATTGTATCATCTTCAATTTCATCCTTAATAGGATGTTCAATAACACTAACTACGATTTCTTCTAAACTTTGGTTGCAAACGCATTGTATCATCTTCAGTTGTTACCGAAAGGGATTCATATGATCGCTTGAGTGTGTTTAATATTGAACCTTGAGTAACTTTTAAATGAAAATTTTCATCAATCCATTGTTGAAAATCTTTTTGAGTCCATGTAGGATGATCTCTCTTATACTCACATAGTGCTTTACGTATTTGATCTGTCATGGTTTTTTTTGGACTTTTTTAGATGTGAAGCCATGGTTTGTTGGTTTTGATTTATATTGACTAATTAGGAATAATTAACTATATAAAGGACCATCTAGCTCAGTTGATAGAGCACAAGATTCTTAACCTTGAGGTCGTGGGATCGAGTCCCATGGAGGGCATTTTATAATTTGGAGGTCTCCTACGGAAGCTGCTCTCAACCTAGTGTTGGGGGCATCCTACTATCTTACCTCCCCCCTTACCCCATTATATATGGGAACAATGGACAACCATTTATATAGTTATTGATTTTATTACCATACATCATATATGAACTTACATTAAGTTTTAATTAGTACTACGTACTACAATGAACTTTATTTTTGTAGGAATGTGTATTATATTTAAATAGTCACATTGTATATGAACATTATTCAATTTGTCAGTACAATGTAGATGTTTTATTCAGGAAGAATAATATAGAATCATTAGTCAATACATTGTAGTTCCTTTTCTCAACTGCCTTTATTTTTTCTCTTTCATTTTATACTCTGAAAGTATTATTCTTAAGGGTTATCGTGAGTGTCGATAAACCCATGCCAATCCCTTTTTCTCCTCTTGTTTACTCTTTTTCATTTTGAAATATTTTCTTCTCTATTTTTTGTTTAGATAAATTTGTAATTATATTTTCGTTTTCTTGAAGGAAGTTACTTATCTCGACATCTGTTCAACCCTTCTCGAAGATTCGTTTACGTTGAGGGATATAATACTCTTTACGTCGGTAAGATTTAAAAGGGGTCAAAAGTATGATATGCGATTGTTTTCTTTTCCCCTTTTCCCATCGAGTCATTCGCTAGACTAATTTCTCTTGTTCATTTTTATTTTGCAGGTTCAAAGGCTCTTCTCCTCAGTTAATAATACATCGACTTCTCTCGAATGATCTGGTGACTCTGGTAAATCCTTATTCGATTTCTTAAAACAATATTTTTTAGATTTTGTAATTTCTCATCGGAGTCGTCGTTGAAGATTTTGACGTGATTTTTATTATCACTCGGTGACTAGTTCATAACATTTTATTGATATTTTTTGATGTATACGGTGTTGTTTCTTAATTAGCATGAAGGTTTTAAACAAATCTGATATCTTTTTTGGGGGAAAATTATCTTCCATAAATTAAATTGATTTTAAGTTTATTTTTTTAGTTCTCTTTAATTAATGATCTTACTATGATTAAATCTTATTCCTTACAGATGAAAAAATCTCTTTTGATCTTGGAGCTCTCTCAAAAAAAGGAACTACTACCTAAAGGACTAAGAAAAAACAAGATGATCTTGCGGTAACTTTTGTCTTTACTTTGAATGTGTTTTCTTTATAAATATATTGTTTATGTCTAATTTTTCAGAAATGTTAAAATATAATTAAAAAATAATTAAAATTAGTTGTAACTGAAAATCTTATTAAGATTGTAACTTTTTAAATTAAATAGAATAATATTTTTATAATAAAAAATATTATTCTATTTAATTTTATTTTCAATTATAAACCCTAAATCAAATTAGACATAATTTTTAGTTAGATATGTGCAGTAAGGTTGTGTTGATTTTTTTTGGGGGGTTACAAAGGTTGTATTGTTTTTAGTTATTCTATTGATGACGTATCGACCCCAAATTGTGTTGTGGGACCATAATCTGATTTTTCTGATATTTGTGTGTAGTGAATATTATTTTCATGATACAAAATTAAGTCAAGATAGAGTAATTAAAGAAAAGGTTAATGGTGGTTTCTATGTTCAAAATAACATAAATGTGAATATATTGAGTAATATTACAATGATGGTTATATTAAATAATAGTTTACGTTTTTATTTGAATAACAATAATAATGAAATTTAATTTCAAAAAGCAAGAAAACAAATTGATTAAAACAAGACGTCTGTAAAAGGAAAAAAATAATAAATAAAAAAAGGAAAGTTGAAATTGTGTGGAAATAAATAAATTATGTGGGCAAAAAGGAAAAAGGGAATAAAAAAGAATACAAGGCAAGGGGTGAAGAACCTTGGAACACACAACACTCCTTCATATTTCCAAAACCGGCAACTTGCAAAAATGCATGTTCCGTTTCTGATCTCTCTCTCTCTCATCCCATTCATTCACTGAACCCAACCCCTTCTTCTCTCCTTTTTTTCATTCGGTATATATCGTTGTTTTTGAATTGAGTTTTGCTTCTTACCTACAAAGCAACATAAATTGTGAGATACAAAACAGAAAGATGATGGATTGCTGACATAACCCAAATCCCTTCCTTTTTTTCACTTTTCGTAATACCATCCTTATCTTCCGTACTCATTTTGTTTAAAATTTGTTGCTGCTGTAGAGATTGAGATCAGATACACCCTCTTTGTTTGCTCCTTTCTGCTGTTTAAGGTGCGCCTGTGTTCTCTCATCTTTTCCGTTGAATGTAGATGAATGAAAAAAATCCCATCTTTTCTTCTTCTTGTTGTTGATTCTCTCCAAGTAGCTAGATCTTATTTCTGGATACTTGTTTTCTTTTCTGGATCTCATTTCTTTGTTTTTGTTTTTGCCCAAATTACGGGACCCCGATGTAATAGTTGTTTCTAATTCACTTAAATTGTTCATTTTTATTTACTTAATTCGGATCAAGATGATTTGTAGAATGGTTCAATTACCTTAACGATGTTCATCACGTCATTCCCATAGCTTCTGTTTGAATTTTGACTGGTGCATTGTCTTGAATCGCATTGTGCGATAAAGCATCCTACCCAGTGGTTTAAAAGTTGGATTTTCGCCGCTACTTTTTGTCATTTCCGATTCTACATCGAGATCTTGTATATAATTGGGTTTCAAAGAGGGAACATTACAATATTTGGGGATTGCGTGCAGGTGTCTGAAATGAAAACGAGAGCAGCGGGGAAAGTTCCAGTGACGGTGGTTGAGAGAAGAAAGGGTGAATATGATGGTGGGAGAAAATCAATACAGGAGAGATACTTCGGGTTGGAATCACTGCTGCTGCTGATATGTCTAACAGCATCTTTGCTCATCCTTCCCTTGATACTGCCGCCGTTGCCTCCTCCACCTTTCATGCTCTTACTGCTTCCCATTGCCATTCTAACCGTCTTAATGCTACTGGCTTTCATGCCTTCCAACGTCAGGGATATAACTCTGTAAATCCTCCTTTTTATCTTATAATTTTCTTCTTTTATTTTTAGAAGTTCTCAATAAAATTTAGAAAATATGAGAGAATTCTCACTTGCCTAGTTACATTCTTGTGAGACCAAGTCCAACTACTTCACTTCTTACATCATAATGCTCATTGCCCCACACCACTGTCAATAATGAAACATGGTTTAAATTATATTTTGATTTTGACAACGGAATTGGACACTTTAAAAATATAACTTACAATTTACTCCGGTTTTTGTACAAGTTAAAGCCATACCAAATGGAATTAGGCAAGAAATATTTTATTTAGAAAATAATATTTGAAGAAATTAAATCAAATGGAGTGGATAATAAAGTGTGAATTTGCTTTGTGTTCAAATCTGGATTTATAATAATATAAAAATATCTTATAGAAATATTTTCCTAAAAATAATAAAAGGGAAAAGTGAAAATTTTCCTAGAATTACAGAAAATATATGTATATATATCGAAAATGGGTCTTACATTATAGATGAACAACATACAGCCCCACGAGATTATGATATGGGTGCCATAGAAGAAGCGCAGCTGGGCAACTTCGTACATTAAACCAAATCACACGATGTATGGAAATTTGACAAACTCATAAACTTTGTGACGTACCAATTGCTAAAACAGTAATTATTAGATGCACGTGGCACAGGGATGGATGCTATAGGGTAAAGATCTAGCAGATAAAATTTACTTGTAGCTAACCCACACTGGCAGCACGAACCAAAAATGAAGGGAGGTGATGCTCCAAAATACCTAAAAGCTCTCTGCATTGATTTACCTCTTCTGATGCACCACCTTCGAGTATTCGAACAGCTTCAACAAGCTGCCCCCTCAGTCTTTGTGATAACAGACGACCTCAATACACTCCCTGTACAGTGGCATGTATGCAATTCCCACCCTCAAAGGGCCTGGTAGATCCCTTAAGCATATTGGAGATTCCCCCCTCTTCAAAATCAGCATTAGCTTCGTATAATGTTTTTGCCCTTGCTTTAATCCATCAAAGAAAGCTGCCTCTGACCAGTGCTCCTGAACAAATGCCCTCAGATCGGGAGCAACAGCCTCATCATCGGACTTAGCAATGCTGTCTGCAACAGCGTAAGTAGCAGCAGGATCACCTAAGAAGTCAGATTGGAGAAGAAATGCAACACCATCAAGAGACCCACCACTTCTTTCACCCGCTGCCTTGAGAATTTCGATGCTCAGTGCCGTTAGGACATGCTTAGGAACATGGGGGAGGAGATATGCAGCTACACCAACTTGGCTGCTGGAAGTAGCAGCAGTAAGGGCCAGACATAGCTCCATGTCTCGACAACCTCTTTTAACAAACCACTGGACAACCTGCATGCAGCCTCTTTCAGCTGCTCTCATTAAAGGTCCCAAAAACGCCATGGCATTACCCTCTTCCACTAGACACTCCATTGTTCCAATCTTGCAGTAATGTGAAGCAAAACCCAAGGCAAGATCAACATCAACATCCAAGCTATTCAGTTGGGCGATCTAGGCCAGACAAATACCACATAGCCCAACAAAGATAATTAAGGAACTGTTAGTGTACAGTACAATAATAATAACAATAATAATATTTCTCCTCTTAAAAAAGAAAAAACAAAAAAGCCCCTTTCTTATAGCAAAAGAAGTGAAAACACACGCGACTTTCCATGGTTACAAGAAAAGGTAAAAATCAGATTAGGGTGTGATTCTAGCTTTGGTTTCTCAATTTGAGTTTTCCACGCAATCTGTCAGCCTTACTCATGTCTAAACAGGAAAAGTCAATACATTTTAACACAGGAGCATTCCCATTCACTTGCATGTTTTTTCAATCTAAATGCTTGGGATTCCCTCACCACATTTAGCAGGAAGAGAGAAAAAATAGCAAACCTTACACAGTTTAACAATAAAAAGGAACGCTATGACATAACTAGATCAGACTATATTTAAGGGATTTAGACTACCATTTCATTACCCTGATATCTCCCAAATGAAATTACCTTACATGCAAGAACCCTGAATAATTCTATAACTACATGTAACTAGGGTTGTAAATGAGACGAGAGAGATCGTGAGCTACTTGAGCTTGACTTGATCAAAGTTAGATAAATACTCGACTCGAATAGACTCAACTCAAGCTCGTACTCAACTCAAGTTCTTAACGAGCCTAAACGAACTACTTGATATTTGACTCAAAAAGCTCATGAGCAATTCAAAAAAATTAATATATTAATTTTTTTTTTTAAATTAAATTATTAATAATATTAACATTTGTGTTGATTTTTTTTAAATGCAGTATTAGATTTTTATGTACTTAAGGTCCAAGTTTGAGTTCGAATTTGAGCTTCAACCGAGTTAAGTTTAAAAAATTTCATTGATTTCAAGCTTTTTTGAGCTTCAATTCGTGGTTGAGTTTGAGTCGAACTCGAAAATTTTAGGCTTGCAAGCTTTCGAGCCGAATCGAGCTCCATTTTAAATTTTTTGAGTCGAGTCGAGCTCAACAGTACTCCTTTACAGCCCTACATGTAACCATATCTAAAGTGTGTAGAGTGATATTTTCTTCAAAAAGAAGCAAGAAACTTGTACTTTATAATGGATAAGATAAATTGTGAAAATCAAACACCAAGTAGAATGAGATTTTATTCACTTCAAAGACTGGAGGACAAATTTCCCAACATATCAATGCTATGTGTACAGCATGCACTATTTTTTTCACCCAACCTCTCACATAACAGCACCTTGGTAAATGTCAATGCATTTTCAACAAATAATGAAGAAATTGCACATAAGTATCTTGAAAATGTTGGCAGTAAATGAGTAAAAGTACAAATTCAACTCCAAAGAAATAATACCCACCTGCAATAAAATGCGGACAAGTTCTGTACTGCCAAACCGAGAGGCTTCAAGGAAACACTGGTTAACATTGTCCGCACCCCCCTCCACCAACATATCCAACAATCCTTGGATAACTGTGGCTGAGATCCCAGAAGCCCAACCAGCATCAAATGAGCTAGAGAACAGAGTAAGAGGAAAGCAAGCTGCATCAAATGCTTCTGTAAAATCCTTTCCTGTAAGTTGGTTACCAGCAAGATCTAGGAATGTCTTAAATGCAGTTAACTGAAGTTGGATTTCAATAGCTGAGCAATGATTCACTCTATCGTTGTTCCCCTGAAGCCGGGAATGGGAACCTATACATTTCAAAGCCCATTCAGTGAACTTTTGGACCTTGGCACCAGCTTCTGCCTTCAAGATCTCATCCCCATGGCATTCTTGGAGTCTCTCATGCAACCTAATGAGAACCAAAACAAAAAATTAGCACATACACAAGAATAACCAGTTAGGCAAGGTCTTCTACAAAAATGTGGAAAAAGCAACAGTAAACTCCATTTTTGACATGTCCCATGCATTTCTTACAGAAGGCACTCACAAAGTGTGTCATATGGCATGAGGAAATAATTCAAGCAGTAACTTTTACAAATTTCACTTCTTTCCAGAAATTGCGAAATCAATGACAAGGAATGATAGCCTGACACCAACAGGGTTTTTCCTCGTGACAACGCTGTGTTTCAAGATGAATTAAAAGAAGCAATTATTATCCATCCACAAATCAAAAGAAACAGCTTGTTTACCTCTGAGCCATCACAGTTACAGTGTCTGCAAGACTCATCATGCGACTCTGGCAAGCTGAGACACAAGAAGCAAGAAATGAAGTCCGGAGAGCGGCTCTAGTAAAGTCATAAGCACCATTAGCAATGATCTTCTTAATCAACTCGGTAATCCCATACAACTCCTGCTGGGTGCCCAAAAACCAGATAGCATCCAATGTGACACACAATGCATCATTTAGAGTCTGTGGATCTGTTGACAAGATTAAACTCTCAGCAAACTCCCAATCATGGGAACTCACGGCTCCCTGAAATAATTGACCCAACTCAATCCTGTATTGTCGGCTGACTTTCTTGTCATGCACGGATTTCTCCTTCTGACAGAACTCTGTGTCTTTTGTAGCTACCCTAGATTTGTTTTTCTTCAGACTACAACTACAACTACCAGACGTTGATGGCTCTTTACTTACAAGGGGTGTCTCGGCTGAGAAAACCACACTACTTGCCTCGCCTTTTTCCAGTCGAAAGCCTTGAATTCCACTGTTTGATTGTCCCGTTTCAGTTTCCTCAGTATCCATTCCAGTAAACCAAGGGTCCTCTAAGTGCACGTTTCCACTCCCC